GCTCAAACCTTAGTAATGGCATATATAGCTTGATCATGCTACCCATTTTTGTCCTGCGAATAATTTTATTCCTGCCCATCATGTTACAGCTTGTCTCTAACAACATCAACATGTTGGCAGCCGAAGTACATTGCTTGAATCTGAAAATGTATCCTCAGACAGAGTTATTAAATTAACAGGCTGTCAAGCCAAGGATGGGTAAGATTCTGCACAGAGCCTTACCAACCTAAGATATAAGTGCATTGCTTTTGATAATGCACATTCCATGACATGTAAGGAAGCCATTCTTGGCAGAATGACCTAAGACAGGCTCAAGCTTGTTTATTAAATAAAAAAGGGGGAGAGGTGAGAGTATTTGGGGCTGCTTGGCAAGAATCTGATATGGGCCAAGGGCAAGATAATGGGCTTAAGGAGGAAGATGAAATATAATCGAACAAAAAAGTAATTTCAGGCAGGAATCTAAAATTTTAGTTTAGAACAAGGAAATAGGTTTCAGACATGAAAATGACTTTGAGCTAGAACAGGGAGGTTGCCTCAGATATTTTGGTCATCCTGATAAGCACTTAGAAACAGTGATCATGGGAGTGTGCACAGAATTTTATTTATTGCCTTGCTTGTTCTTTGACTATTTGTACTTATTGTCTTGCTTGTTTCTTGACTATTTGCATGTGTTTTATTTCTAGATCCTCAACCGAGAACTTATCTTAATACTTACATGTGATAAAAATGGAATAAAAGCAAAAAGAATGAGTGGGGAAGGGATAGGAGGCTTCTAGGGAAAGGAAGGACGGAAAGGTGATGGCTTCTGAATTGTAAATGAATAAAATATCCATTTAAAAAGTCTCCCAAATGAATAAACCCTGGAACAGATTACTTTAGTGCAGACATCAGCAGACTTTCAAAGAAGAGGTAATGCCAAGACTCCTCAAACCATTCCAAAAAACAAACAAAAGGAATATTGTCAAACTCATTCTTTGTGGCCACAGTCATTCTCGTACCTACAACATACCAAGAGCCAACAAATAAAGGGAATCTCGGACCAAATTTTCCTATGAACACTGATGCAAAAATACTCAATAAAATTTTCACAAACCAAATTCAACAATATATCATCCACCATTATGGTGCAGTGGGCTGTGAGAGGCAGTTGGGTACTTGATCAAGAGCAGGCTTCAAACCCCAGAGACCCTAAAGGCATGAGAGGTGTTCAGCCTTGCTCCTGGGCCCTGGGCCCTTTCACTTAGCTTCAGCCATCATAGCCCTTCCCAAAGAAAGGTTTGTGGCCCTCAGTCACATAGCACAGGTAGAGGGCATGACTACAGGCTACAGAGCCTCAAAAGATCTCCTTATTCATGAGATACCTAAAGGCCAGAGGGCATAGCCAATTAGGCTTTCCTACTCAGATCCTCCTCCTATTTTCAAAAGGTATTTAACCTCAGGCCCACCCTGACAACATGAGGTACAGCTTCATCCACTTTCTGTCATGACAATAAAAGTTTTAAAACCACGGACTACCTCTTGTCTTTGGGGCCCACTGTGGGAAACCGCGGAGAAGGCCCTCAACTACTGAGCTGCCACCTAATCTCCCACCAGCCTCTCTGTGTTCCAGCCGTGGAGGCCTGCCACCTCAAGCAAGCTAACCAAGCCAGCCATGACCCAGTCAAGTGAGTGACCGTGACCAAGAGTCTCATTCCCCATGGGGAGCTGGAGCTCAACTTCTCCCCCTCGCCCCTTTCGGTGGTGGGTCAGTCCAGCCTGTATGCCTCCCATCTCAGTACTTCTGCAGCCTTTTAGTGGCACCTGGGAGCCCAAGGTCTGAGATGTCCAACTCAAGAGCTCCGGCCCACAGGAGGTCTCAGAATGTGTTCTTGCCATGCACAGGGTGGAGTCCTGTGGCTTCTCACAGCTCGATTCCTGCCTGGTACACGTTAAATGAACTCAGTCAACTTCCAGTGCTTCTGCCTCCTGAGCCTGCATGCCACAACACTACACACCATGATCTAGTACACGCCATTGTAAAAATTCTGAGATTGTCCAATACAAAAATCATGTCAATGTAATCTACCAAATAAACAAATGGAGAGAAAAAAAACTACATGATTATGATCATCTTATTAGATGGTGAAAAACCCTTGAAAAATTCCAATTATCTTTTCATGTTAAAAGTCTTGGAGAGATCCGGGATTCAAGGCACAAACTTAAACACAATAAAGATAATATACAGCAATGCAAAAGCTAACATCAAATTAAATGGAGAGAAATTTAAAGCAATTTCACTAAATCAGGGAAAAAACAAGTCTGTCCACTCTCTCCGTATCTCTTCAATATAGTACTTGAAGTTCTAGATACAGGAGTAAGATAAATCAATAATTTAAGAGCTCCAAAGCATCGTCATTTACCTGTACAACTATTTCTCATTTTTATCATATCCAACGTCATTGTAGGAAATCAGCCCAGTTTCTCAATTTTCGTATGTTATGTAATTTCTATTTTTCAAAGTTTTTTATATATCCTTTCTTCTTTCTTAGTAACATTGACTGCCCTGGTGTATAGGGTCTCTGAGACTAATTTTTCTGAGAGATGGGACTGTTCTGCATGATGTAAATGCTCAACCATAACTCTCTTTTTCTTAGTTTATTGTAAACCAAAATGCCCAAATCTTCCCCACAGTTTTTTTTCACTGTATCATATGTTTCTTAAATGTTCTTTTGATTCTCTATGTCCCACTGACCAACACTTTCTTAATCATTAGTTTCGTCAGGGCTTATTTCTTTCTTCTTTCTTCTCTATTTCATTTTTTACATACAGTAGCTAACACATCATAATAAAGAGAACTTGGATTTTTTTTCCTCCATAACATAGTTTGAATTTAAAAAATGACTAATAACTATTTTTAAATCAATCACTACTCTATTGTCATAGAATGTTTACTGATTGATGGAAAATTTATTTTACAAAGACTGATCACCTCCCAGAGGACAACTGGGATGAGGGCCTGGAGTGCTGAATTCATGTCTAGAAGAAGAAAACATCACCACAACTTTATTACATCCTAGGCTTTCCTGAAAAACTCCAAATGAAGGAGAAAATAACAAGAATTATCAGAAATAATTAAAAATTGTAACAGTTGATGTAACCACAGATGGGCATTTCTCAGTTCTAAAGCATACGTTATCACTTCTCCTTTAATGCTGGTGTAACCACAAATAAACAAAATGTAAATAATACAAGATAAGCAGTGATTATAAATATGATTATAAATATGTTCAAAAAATTCAAACAACATAAGCCTATCTTCTGAATTAATCCTAGAAGAATACCAAACACTGAAAAAAATACACATTGAATTAGAACATTAAAGTGGAATTTGATAAAGAGATGCAGAGAAGAAAAACAAAGAGAAATGATGACCAAAAAATCAGCATAATTATTGATAAATTTGTTAATCAGTTCAATGGAACATATAAGTTTTGTGGAGATAAATAACTCAATGAGTTCCAGTATAGAACAACGACAAAAAAATTCTATGTCAAATGGTGAGACAATTCTCTCATATTCTGAATAAAATTACAAAACAGAAGTTCCCAAACTGTAGGAAAAAATGACCATTGAAATTATAAAATGGATAAAGAATGGCACACAGATAAGACCAGAGAAGAAACTTCCCATTTCACATTAAAGATAAAGTGGTGAATACATAAAATAAAAAAGTGCACTGGAAGATATAAGAGGAGGTACTAACTCATATATAAAGACATGTCCCTTAACATGAGTCCTGTCTTTTCAATGGTAAACAAGAAACCCAGGAGTTCTTTGAAAAATGTATTTCATGTTTAAAATATAAGAACTGTTGAAAATATTAATTTATAAAAAACCTATTGATTAAAATTAAAGGAGAAGCAAAATGATATATGTTATGTCAGCCTAATGATTTTCTTAAATATTTACTCACAATGAAGCCTACTTTTATTACATAATGGAAAGAACAATTTGGACTGAAGAAAAGGGTAAATGCAGCTGCAAGTGAGAGGGGACAAAAGTTTTAAAACTGCTAAGGCAGTTGTTAAAAAAGAGGACAGAAACAAGAGCAGTAAGTGCCATTCAGTAAAATTATAAGAATCAATGCATGCCTTTCAATAAGAAATTTTAAAATAAATGGTCTCAATTCCTTTAGCAAAGGACACAGACTAAGGCTGAAAGTAGTTATGAATCCTTTAACCTCAGCAGTCAGGAGCCACAGGCAGGTAGATCATTATGAGTTTCATACAATTTGGCGTACATAGACAGTTACAGACCAGCCAAGATAATGAGCCAGTCTACACACAAACAATACACAGACTAGCAGATTGGATTAGCAATTATATTTGTTTTGCTGACTCCAAGAAATATGCCCAACCATCAAATATCAACATAAAAAATGAGCATGCATTACTATTCTGATATCAAGTCAAAACTAATCACAAGCATATAGACTGCTTCATTCACTTTAGTGAAACTATGATCCATATGACATTGCAACTCTAAGTGTATATGTATCAATATGTGAACTTAATTTCATAAAACAAATACTAGTTATAGTGCCACAGAATAAACTCTGCAACAAAATAGTGACTTCTACACTTACTTTTAAAACAAATATACTATTCAGAATAAAATTAACAGGCAAACATTGAAAGTAGATGATATTAATATAAATTTCATTTAAGAGATAGAAAATGATTAATATATATAAATATGTACATATAAATCATGACCTTGATGGCTCAAAGACAGAAATTGCATGGTCATCTAAAAAAATTATCCCAAAACAACAAAATATGTAGCAATGATGAATAACCACATGTGATATGAAAGTACAAAGGAGGATAATAGAAACAGTGGTGAAAGCAAGAAGAGGGGAGAATTAATTTTGTATGAATATGCTATGAAGAATATTATACTTTGTATGCTAGTTATAGTAAGACTAAGATCTTAATACGGTAGAAAAATAGATTACATACCCATAGACAAAACGAGTGGATTCAAAAAACTAGGTATAAAAAGTTTCCTGATATTGTTCAAAAAAGGATCCTGAGGGTTGTTGAGGGAATCCATCTTCACTCCAAATGAGGTACGAATGATCACATCTAAGCTGTAGGCACCAAAAATGCTGAGTAGAAAGACAAGGTGTTTAATATGTGACCAACGCAGCTCCTGAGCTATGGGACAACTTGCCTGCAGTATGATTAGTGCAGCCTGAGTTTACTTCCGTGGTATCCTCAAAATTTAACATGATTTTACTACCCACATCATTTCCAGAAAGTTATTCCTCTTCAGAGCCCCCAGCCAATACATGCATCACTACTCACTCTCTCACGGTAATGGGCTTGCCTTTCTGTACTTCCAGACTCATATTTTTCACCAGCACATCTCCATATTCTTGGATGATTGGAAACATCTAAGTACAAAGTACAACACACTTTGTTGGTAAATGACAACATCTATGTTTCACAAATAACAATATTTTTGAAATTATTAAAAGAGAGTCACATTTTTACAGGAGGTATAAGACCAACCTCCCCCAACACAAAATAATACCAAACAAGTGAAAAGAATAAGAACAGCAACAAAGAAAAAACAAAATAGACAAACAAACAAGCAAAAAACCCAAAGACCATTCTTAGCAATGTAATGCACAAAATACATGTAAAACATATCTTTGAACTGTATGATATTACTTCTCCCTGCCCTCAGATAGAATTGATTACATCCATAACAAAACATCATTTATTTTCTTACATCCTTCAGCTTTCCACTGGTGAAGGTTGGAGAAACCAATGATCAAATTCTCTTCCATTCTTCATTCTCACTTCTTAAGACACTCTTTTTCATAATTCCCACTGGACTAAAAGGCTACAATACCAAGAAAAATATGTTTTTGCCTTTCATTTTGATTATCTTAATGGTTTTAAAATATGTATAAATTATACAATATTCCTTAATATTGATAAAAACCCTGTTCTAGAAGGCATAGTTAATGCAAGTCTCTCAACAAAAGTGCCTCAAACTGGGGTTAGACAAGTGGCTCAGTGGTTAAGAACACTTGCTCTTCTTGCAAAGGACGCTGGGTCAGTTCTTAGCACACTCATTTAGTGCTTCACAACTAACAGTAATTCCAGTTCTTGGTAGCTGATGCCCTCTTTTGGTTTCTGTGACCACTTGCACACATACTATGCACAAACATACACTCAAGCATGCACAAGTGATAAATAAATTAAAATATGTAGAATACCTCAAAGTACAAGAAGGATACATACAGTTACCTGATATTGTATAAATCTGTTCTATTACAATCTTCACTTCAATATGATTTCCTCTTGAGGAAAACTGTCTCTTAAAGTGAATAGACTGGTACAAGATTGAAATATAGTCTCCAAGTCAGAACAGAAAAAATGATTGGTTTCTTAGTTAGGGTTCTATTGCTGTGATTTCTGTGATAAAGACCATGAATAAAAGTAACTGGAATTGGAGAGAGTTTATTTAAGCAACTTCAGGTTATATCCTATCTTGAAAGAAGTCAATGCAGGGACTCAAGGCAGGAATGGAAAGCAGGAACTGGAGAAGAAACTCTGCAGAAATGTCACTTACTAGATTGCTCATCCTGTTTTCATATTCAGTCCAGGACTAACTGCCCAAGTGAGTCACAGTGAGTTTGGATGTCAGTCACAAATTAAGAAAATGCCCCAAAGCCTTTCTAGAAGTGAGCTGATGGAGGCATTTTCTCAATAGAGGACTCTTCTTTTGTATGTCTAGGATTGTGTCATATTGCCAAAATACAACTAGCATTGTAAAAGAAACTTTCCAGGTGTAAAAGTAACTTTTACTCATCAGATGTAACCTTTATCTCAGAGGCTTACTGCTGAATGAGCTCACCCTTTCTAGCTCTATCTGAACTCAGGCCTGGCTGTTTCATATTTTGGCTCAAGCTCCTAAACAATTTTACTGATTCAAATGGGCTTTTCTCAGTTTCTCACTGAATTGTTCTTGTTGACTTCAAACTAACTTGGGAAATTTGTTCTAATTTTCGGTCTACTTTTTATTCTCTAGCTTGAATTGCCCCTGCTGACCTTCACTACACAAACTGAATGGAACTCATGAACAAACTCAACTGAACCCAATTGAACTGAACTCACTGAACTGCCCTCTGTAGTGTGAAATATTTAAAAATTTAAGTCCCACACTACTGCCAGCAAGGCACCAGCTGACAGGCCTACCTGGTGTATTCTCATCTCAGCAGACTCTCTGCTCACATTCCCAGTCACCTGCCCCCAGTTGTTAGCTGTCACAAATCCCTGTAACCTGGTAAAATCAAAACTCTAGGAGCTTCTAATTTATCAGTCACATCTATAGTAGTAAATTCTCAACCCACAAAATGCCTGCACAATGAACTCAAAACTCAACTGATATAAATACAACATACACACCTAGATGGGACAAATGCACCCTACTTGTAATTTAATTATCTATCTGAGAAACCCCCAATACTTATGGCTCCCAGTATTGTGGGGTTCTGGCTCCTTTTCCTCTCCTATAGATTCCATCTAATCCTCTACATCTCCTCTTCTGACTCTCTGTATCTGTCTCTAAAATTATCTGCCCACCTTCCTTTACCACAGCACAAGCACAGGCTCTTGCCTTATCTTGTGCCTGCCTTCACCTGCATGCCAACAGCAATCTACATGTCCCCCTTTTGTCCAATTAAAAGGCTCTTTTGTCTCAATATAAATTGAGCACAACTATTATTATTTTGCAATTCATAAAGTATAAAATACACCTAACACCCAGTCTATCATACTGTCAATTAAATAATGCACTCTGTTATCTATCTTATCCTAAAAAGGTCTATAATTTTATATCTAATATATCTTTGTTTAGCTTGTATACTATCTGAAAACTATCCTTTCAAATGTATTTTCTCAATGTTAAATAACCTATTTTGGCTATGAAACTATAACTAGTCTTTAATCTTGTCAGAAATCTGATAATGTTCAATAATATCTGAAAATATAGGAAGTTTAATGTAGCTTCCATAACTGAGACAAACTGAAGAGACAGCTGTACTTATAAACACCCCAGTGTGTCAAGAACTTGGATCATCAGTCTTTAGCCTTTTGGCCTAGGATCATCTGTCAGAACTTTGTAACCTAGAACTTTGAAGGACTGATTACTCTGTATTGACAGAGATTATCAGTCAACTATTCTCCATAGGATGTCCTCTTTAGGAACAGCATTTAGTCTGTAGATGAAATAGGTAATTTCTGTCCTGTGGCAACCTAGCCAAAGAGTACAACCTCACCTGGAGGTAGAGATGTTCAGCTGTTTCTTTGAATCCACAAATGGGGAGCTGTTAGAAGCAGTTATGTCTCAACAAGTGAATAAATAATATTAAATGTCACATTCTGTGGATTTCTGACATTTTTGAAAATCATCTATCTATGTAAAATAATTTGGACTATTGACTGTTAACTACTCTCAGCCTTTTCTAAATAAAATATCTTGCAAACACCCTAGCAATTAACTCAGAGCCAAGACTTTGCAATCTGGCCCTTAAATCATAGGCTGTATCATCTCAGATCAGTTTGTAATAGCATTTATAGGACTGGGTTCAAGCCTTGTACTTTTAAAATTTTTGTAACAATAGAGGAAATTTATACCAATAAAATCCCTGATTCTGCAACTTAAAGATTGCTACCAAGTGAGATTATGACTATAAAATCAATTATAGCTATTTCTTATTAAATTCTGATCATTACAAAATTTCCCAAAAAGACAACCTTAGAATAGCCACCTTCAGTCCCAAGCTCAGGGAACTGGAACAATGACTCTTCCTGATGAACATGGGCATTGAGATATCTTGAAGGGGGAAAGGTAGGGAAAATGAGGGAGTTAGTGGGCCTTAAGAAGGCCACAATCGTGATTGTTATAGTGTCTGATGTTGTCTGTGTCCTGACTGGATCCCTGTGAAAGTCCATGAGATCAGGACTTCAAGCAGTTCATTTCAGCATTTCTGACAATCTCACCAAAGCTGTACATTCTGTAACATACACATCTCAAAACAAAATTTTAGTATCATCAAGATATATATATATATATATTAGCTTATGTTGGGTGTTCAGACTAGTTAGAATGAAGTTCTGCTCCAATCAAAAGTCTTCATTTGTGCCATGTGTGGGATGACACAAAGAATAGTTTGTGTTTGATTCACCTGAATTTATTTTCAGGAACCTGCCTCTATCAAATCTGATCCATATAACTCTGGAAGATGTCTAGACACTAATCAGCTTTTCTAAAACTGCAAAGACAAAACCTTTCTCCCAAATCAGCATATCCTTCACTCAGCAAACAGAAAAGCTTTCATCCTGCCTTGACTTACAGGAGAGGAAAAAAACAACCCAAAACCTTATAATCCTACTCATTTTGAAAATCTGTATTTGATACTTCTAACTATGAAAACAATTTATTCACATGTTTATTAATGCCTGCTAATATGAAGCAGGCAGCTTGTCAAGCCAGGATTTTAACACAAAATTCCCGTGGAGTCCATGTTCAAAGAATATGAGTTTGCTGTAGACTGTATTATACTACCTATCCTGTTATGCTCTCTTCCTAGAGCTACAGACATCTATTTTATTAATATCTGTTATACCATCTACCTGTCCTGCTCTCTGCTTGGAGCCACAGACTTCTATTAATTAAAACCTGTTAGTAACAGGCAATTATGACTGTTCTCTACTTGGAGTCAGTAATTCTTCCTATTCTACTCCTGAACAAGGGACAAAATTCCCCATGAGATTCAGACAAAATCTGTATATAAATCTATCCTAAAAGCAAATTATCCAAATTTTATAAATTCACACTTCAATCAATATCTGCCCAAAGAAGTAGGCAGCTTCCATTCTCCAGAAAACTGACTCACAGATGCCATCTTGTCTCTTTTTGCAGCAGAGGAACTCATAACTCTCTTTCTTTGCTTCAAAGTTCCCATGATGGAGATGTCACAAGACTCATCTCTGCACTGACTGCCAAAAATAAATTTCTAACTGATAGGCTAAGAATCTCCAATCTCTAGTGAATTCTAGTGTTTCAATGGTTTGCCACCTATAGCATGAAATATTTTAAAAAAGAATAATCTGTGCTACTGCCTGTAGATATTGGCAGATAGGCTAGCCTGTTTTCAGACCAAAAGACAGGGCCATACCTAACCCTAACCCTAACCCTAACCCTAACCCTAACCCTAACCCTAA